CTGGCAAGCGCAAGGTCATGAGTTTGGTTCCCGGTACCGGAGAAAAACCAAAAACAAACAAACAAAAAAAATATATTTGGGCTGGGGATTTAGCTCAGCGGCAAAAGCACCTGCCTGGCAAGCGCAAGGTTGTGAGTTCGGTTCCCGGTACCGGAGAAAAACCAAAAAAAAAAAAAAAAAGAGTAGGCACCTTAAGCTGGGATTGGTGGTGTATGCTTTTAATTCCAGCTACCCACCCGGAGGCTGAGGCAGGATGATCAAAAATTTGAGCCTAGCTAGGTGCAGTGGCGTACACTTGCAATCCCAGCACTCGTGAGGCTGAGGCAGGAGGATCACTGTGAGTTTGAGGCCAATCTGGACTACAAAGTGAGTTCAAGGCCAGCCAGAACTGCATGGGGAAATCCTGCCTCAAAAAAAAATTTTTTTTTGAGGCTAACCTGGATACCTTTGCAAAACCCTGTCTCAGAATAATGAAATGAAAAAGGCTGGGGGTATGGCACTAGAATACTTGCTTAGCATGTGTGAGGCTCTTGGCTCAATCCCTAAACTGCTTAATTAGTTAATTAGTTACTTAAAGGCAGGGCCTGGGGAGTGTAGGGCAGGGCACGCTTGGTTCGATTCCCAGGGTTGGCAAAAGCACTTGGATGAAATGAAAAGTTGCAAACAAGAGGAAGAAACTTGCAATACACAGAGGGTCCCTTGCTTATAATGGTTCAACTTACACTGCTTGGATCTATTGACCTCACAGGGGTGCAAAGGCAGTGAGCACAGAGAAGCCATCCTTTGAGGGGTGAGTTTGACCTTCTCCAGAGCGAACAATATGGGGTGTGACGATGTTTTGAGGTGCCGGGCCATGGGAGGGAGGGCTACTCTTGGGCATCCACGAGATTGCATGAGGGAGACCCATCTGACAGCGTACAATCTGCTGTGCTGCTCAGCTGGCACGTTTGCAAGGTTAGGCAGAGTCGATGCTTTTTTATTTATGATATTTTCAACTTACAGTGGGTTTATCAGGGTCCAACTGCACTGTACATACAAGAGCACCTGAACTGAATGGAGGCAGGAGTAGTATCAAACATACATAAAGAACTTCTATGATGCATCGAGAGCTCAGAGAACCCAGAGGGCCATGGAGAGGGGTAGACGTGGGTGGCAAAGGGACGCTCCGTGCCAGCTAGTGATTAGGAGGATGCAAATTCAAGCACCAACCAGCTGCAACCTCCGATACCAAGAGTTTCCCAACATGGTGACTCACAGGAAGGTTACAGAGAGCTGGGGGCGTTGGCAGGTCCTGACACTTCAAGAAGGCTGCCAGGGTTTGTGGGCCCATTGGAGCTCCCAGTCTGGGTTCCTGAAGGGCCTGAGAGGGAAGGCACCTTCTTCCTGCCACAGCCCATGTACCCACGGGGATGGGGGTGGGCAGATGCTGGGGCTGTGATTTGGGGGTGGGGCGGGAGTGCCCGTCCTTCCTCTCAGGACAAACGCCCACTGTCCGGCGGCTCCCACAGCAGAGCCATCTGATGCTGGGCTGTTGCACAGATGGGCTCCTGCTGCAGTGAGGGGATGACTGAGTTAATACTTGGGGCATGGTAAGCGCTCCACACAAGCTCACTGAGTGAATAATAAAAAGCAGGGATGAGGGCACAGTATGCTGCCCATCAGCACAAGCTGCCCCTGGATGGTCTGACATGAGGGTGCCAGCAAGGAAGCACACCCTCTCAGCTTCAGTCTCCCCGGAGCACACGATACTGACACTTCTTCAGATGCTGAACACCCCATCCCCGCCTGGTCCCCGACCTGGAGCCCAGGAGGGCGCGGAGTGGACGCGGGTGTGCACTGCTGTGTCCCCAAGCCCCGGCTGAACATGCTGGTGAGGCCCAGGTGTGAAGAGCTGGGGGCGCACGTGGTGGCTGGCGGCAGGGGCGGATGCTGTCGGAGCTGAGACCGGAAGGTGGGGGGCCCCATTCGAACGCCGGTGTGGCAGGGAAAGCGGCCCTGGGGGTGGGGGGCGGCGGGGCAAAGGTCCTGGGGCAGGGACCGCCAGGCCTGCGGGGTGGGGTGGGGGAAGCAGCGATCTGAGGGCCCTTTTGCAAGGGGATGTCGGGGAGGAAGAAGAGCCGCCGGCACCGGCTCCCAGGGAAGGAAACGGAGGCTGCGCGGGCGGGCGGAGGGATCGGGGTCAGGGCGGGGACAGGTGGGAGGCGTGGAGGTGGCCCCAGGCGCCCTGAGTCACCACGCTGACGCCACGCCAACCCTCTCCCTCTCCTGATTTCACCTCCTTAGTTTCCCCTCTGCCAAAGCGGTTCCACCACTTGCGGTGCAGAAGCCTGACTCAGCCTCACGGATCCATTGTCTGCGCCCAGCAACCCGGCTTTTCCGATGGGGAAACTGCGGCTCCGGGAGGCAGAGCCTTGTCCAGCTCGGACGGCAGCGGCAGCAGGATCCAGACCCAGGCAGGGTCGCGTGGTTTGGGGTGTGGACCGCGTCCCCAGGCCCCGCCCCTCCTGGCTCTGTCCGGGTCCCAGCGCGCGGCTGCGAACCCGAGGGCAGTGGTGGGGGATCCGGGGGTGCAGGCCAGGGGTGGACACCCCAACGCCGGGGTCAGGAGTGCAAGGCGGGTCCCCCGCAACTAGGGCGGAGGGGACCTTGCGGCGAGGGGCCCGCGGTGGAGGGACCCAAGGGTGGCCCCGCCCCACATCCGCACTGCGTCCGCCCTGTCTCCAGGACAAACAGGGCCCGCGCCGGCGCCGCACACTCCGCGTGACTTTTACTGTTCCAGGGCCAGGCCCCTGTCACTCCCCAGCTCCGCAGGAGGGCCACGCACCCATTGCACTGCCGGGGAAACCGAGGCTGGGGAAGCCCAGGCTGCACAGCGGGGGCGGGGGGAGACCTGCGACTGGGGCCCAGTTGGGAGACATTTGTTGACTGACCCAGTGACCCCTTCTGAGCCGTTCCCATCCAGGAAGACATCCGGGGCTCCCGGGAGGGAAACGGCCTGCGGCGGCCCCGTCCCTCCCGCCGGCCCAGGGCTCTGGTTTCGGCCGGAAGCGCCCACCGCAGGGAGCAGGGCAGTCGCCGGCCGGAAAGTCGGCCCAGGGCGGGACGGCAGCCAGGGCGGCTCCGGGCCAGGGCGGCGAGAACAAAGACCTCGCCGCCACCTCCAGCACTGCGGGGACCACGGACCTGGCAGGTCCCGTCCTCTGTCCCCCAGCCCGGGCCTCGGCTCCCCCTGCAGGGTCCCAGCGCGGCGCTGTAGCCGATGGGTTCCCGCCAAGGTTCTGGCCCCAGGGGACAGAGCTGCGGGGGCACCCAACCAGGGACGATGGACAAACAAAGGAAGCCGCAGGCAAGCGGCTGAGGAAGGATAGGGGACAGAGGCCGGGGAGCCTCAAGCCTGCACTCTGGGAGGCTGAGGCAGGAGGATCCCATCTCAAGATTCACATTCGGGTAGTGAACATGAGCCCTCCCTCGGGCAGACGCCGGTGCAACCTCAGAGGGGCCGGGGTGCCGCTCAGGAGAGCCGGCCTGACCCCCGCCCCGGCCACCAGAAACAGGAGCCCATGGAAGTGGTGGGTGCTGCCAAGGTCACTGGGGCCTGGGCACAGTCCATGGCTGGCAGGGAGCCCGCGGAGAGCTACTGGGGAAGCAGCCCGTGGGCCCTCCACAAGCCGCACCCCAGATGACCCAGGTCCCTGCGGCTGTGCTCCGAGTACCCGCCAAGGGAGCTGGAGACAAGCGCTCTTCCACCACACCCCGCAGCGGCCTAAGGCGCAGACAACCAGGTGCCTACCAGTGGTGAACAGACAGAGGGTGGCCTGCTCCCAGGGGAATATTACTCAGCCAGGAGCAGGGACCAGGTGCTGATATACGCTACAATCTGGATGGACCTCAGGACTGTAGTGTTGAGTAACAGCAGCCAGACACACAAGGCCATAGCAGGTGGGATCCCACTGACATGCAGTGTCTAGCCCAGGCAGATCCAGAGATAGGAAGCAGACTGGTGACTGCCGGGGGCTGGGCAGGGCTGTCTGGGGGACAGCTCCTGGGAATGAAGCTCCCTTGAATGGGCTAAAATCACTGAATTTTGCACTTTAAAGGGTAAATTGTACGGTGTGTGAGTTCTTTGTATCTTAACAACAGCAGCAGGGCTGGGCACGGTGATGCACACCTCGGATCCTAGCACGCAGGAGGCTGAGGCAGGAGGATTTCCGTGAATCCGAGGCCAGCCTGAGCTGCTTAGTGAGACCCTGTCTCAAAAAAAAAAAAAAGCAGACCAAAAATCCCAACAAAAACAGAAGGAATAAGGGAAAGTCTGGGTCTGAGTGCACGGGCAGAAGGCCAGGGGCTGCTGTGTCCCTAGGTCACCTCCTGCAGCGCAACCCCATCCTGGCCACACAGAGAGGCTCCTGGGGTGGTGGGCAGCGGGATGTGCCTGGGGCGGTAAACTGAGGCAGCCAGGTCGCATCCCAGGAGCTCCTGGGTCGGCCGAGGGACCTTAGCTGAGAGGGCCTCGAATGCCGGCCACACGGCAGTTGCTCAACAAACCCTGGGCGGGGCTGGCGTGCCCTCCGTGGTCAGCCTCGCCCGCCGCGCGCCAGGCCCTGGATTCCACCCCAGCCCCGCGCAGATGAGCCCATGCACATAAATAAATAATCATCGGGCCGCGGCTCTGCGACCAGGGCGGCCTAGCGCACGCAGGACCCTGGGCCCCGCCGCGGCTCTGCGACCCGAGAAGAGCGTCCTGCAAACC